CAAAAGTGTTAAATAAAGGAACATTTGAAATTTGCCCACCAACCAACAAGAAAAAGGGTGAAATTGCGACAACAAATTTTCTTGAAAATCTTCTACATTAAGCTTCAGCTACGCAAAGTTTCAATTGAATCACAGCATCCGCGAATTTTTCAGGAATTTTCAAACATCAGGTTCAGATAATCGAATTTTTGAAATTTGCGCATGGGCTGAAAACACTTTTAACTTCGAATTGGGGCAAAGATTCTACTTGGTTTTTCTCCCGACTCTCAAGGAGATTTCAGGCATTACTGGGCTCAAATCTCACTTCATACAGCTAATTGATTGATTTTTCAGAAACCTTCAAACCTTTGGCTAATATGAACAATTTGTTTACAAATTTTTACCGACCAAAAAATGTTGGCTGCTAAACCAGTGGCAGTTGTAACTTAAGTAATTTCTGTAAAGTTTAATAGGGTTTATCCGGTGCAAATAAAAATTACTCAAATTGGCGTCTTCCTCAAGTTTTTAGAAGCCCTGAAACTTCAGCCCCGAGGAAGAGAATAATTCAAGTTCCATATCAACTAATTATTGAAAATTTCTGTATGTTGAAAACAATACAAGTCAAATCAGCTCAAACTTTTTTCCACAATTTACAAAAATATTTCAGCTTCACACGGGCTGATTCGCACTGAAATGGTAGAAACTGTAGATTTTTACAATACCTCGAACTTTAGGGTGCAACAGCTGAAGAAATGCTTTCAACTTATTTAGCTTATTATTTGCTACGCCGTAGGCAGAGGTTTAAGCTCCAAATGGACAACGTTTCACTGATATTTAAGTATTTATTGCTTTTTGAGAAACACTTGAGAAAGAGAGAGCCTACAAACTAACAAAAAAGGGCGAACTTGCTCTCCGAATGCGATCAACAAATCTGCCCAACATTTTCGCCTGATATAAAGAAGGTTCTATACTGTAGCTGATTGAAATCTCACTCAATTCGGAGCCTTTTTGCCAATTTTTCAGCCGCTTCAAAACTGCCCGATTTCACGACTCTCAATTGACCAACTAAACTGATACACTGAAAAGCATAATTTCCATTCTACAGTCTATTTCCTATTCAGAAACATTCCGAAAGTACCCACCGGTATCCACCACCATCCAGCAGAGCAAGCCCTTGCGCAGGGACCCGGCTAAAAGCGGCCTGACGCTCCAGTCAACCCTGGGTATCCACAGGGATCGTCGATTCTACACCAGACCTGAAGCCTTCGAACCCGATCGTTTTATGCACAGCATACCAGTGAATGAAGACATTTACCTGCCGTTTGGGGTAGGAGCTGGCAGCCAACTCCGTAAGTGAAACTTTGGAGCTTTTTGAGGAGACTAATGGGATATTTTCGTTGGGTTCTAGGCATGCGGTTGGTCAGTCTGCAAATGGCTTTGGTGCTAGTAGGCGTTTTTTCGCATCTCAAAGTGGGGCTTAGGGACGGTGGTGCCCCTTT